AAAAAAACAGCGTATTTCTCCAACAGTCCAAAAACATCATTTTGGAGAAATATCAGTATGTCAAGGTCTGAGGCACAGTTCAGGAAAGATGAAGGTGAATGTGAACGTCCTGGAAAACTCTGTCTGCCCTCTACTGGAGCCTACACAGCAGTGCAGAAAATGCTCTGGTTATTCCTACAGCTCAGAACCCTGCATGGGGTTAACTTGTCAGCTCCTACTCTGTTTATGACCAAGAGTAAATCTTCTCATGAGAAACTGATAACCACTGCAGAGAGCCTGCAGTCAGCAGGGGTGTGCTGTATGCAAATCTGCAAAGGGTGGACACTTCTCTCTAAATGTGATGTTCCTGATGGAAAAGATGCAGGAGGACACACTTTCCTTCATGATCAATGATCCTCCTTTTCAGGTTTCTGGCTGCCATGGGAATTTTCGTGGGGAGATATAATCTAAGAGATAAGATACTCAGAGCATTCTAGAGGTCTCAGAAGGGAAGAAGGGGACACAGTCCCCATGAGACCACGGAGAGAGCATATTGTTTCCAGGTCATAATTCTTGTTGACTGAGCCCGCAACGACAGTCTGAGGGGTTCTTTCCCTGCCTGTGGCTGGCAGCTTTGCTAATTGACAAAACTCAAAGAGCATGGAGATCCAGGTACATTGGACCCACTTGGATCCACCTGCTTCTGGAAGCCTGGGCTCCTACCTCATCTGGGACACAGTGAAGTGATGCTGCAGCTTTACTGCCAAGTCCCTTTGCTTGGTGAGCAGCTCCTTCTGCTTCAGCAGGGACTGAAGATTTTCCTCAAGTCTTTGATGTTCCTGTTCATTAGAAGATTGTTTTTTAGGGGAGGGCATCCTCACCATGTACATAAACATGCACACATACACACACTCACATTCTATCTATCTATCTATCTATCTATCTGTCTATCTATCTATCTATCTATCTATCTATCTATCTATCTATCCATACATCTATCCTTCTATCTCCAGCACACACATGTATGTGGATGCACACATACAAGCACACTAAATTCCATCCATGCTTAGTTTCCCAGATGACACTAATAAGAGTAAGAAGAGATCGCCTGAGATACCAGGAAGAAGAAAGTTACCTTTCATTAACCTACATCCTCTCTACCCGTATTTCAGCCTAGAGTCAGGAAATACAGGATGCTTTGAGCACAAGGATGTAGAGAAGATTGTGTACTTTTACTCGGTTTTGATCATTTTTCAGTTTATTTTTAGTTTATATGTGCAGGTGTTCAGCCTGCCTGTGTGTCTGTATAACACATGCATGCCTGTTGATATGGAAGAAGAACTCAGTGGGCAGATAAGTCAATGTGGTGCTTGCCTTGAAATCCTGTACACACACAGGTGAACACCAGGGTTCCTTGATCTGTAATCTAAGCTCTCCTAGCAAGTTCCCCAGTCTGTGCATTGAAGGCTTAGTTCCCCAGCACAGGACCACTGGATGGCAGTGGACCAGCCCCTTGCTCTCACTCAGTGCTTCCCAGTGCCTCCAAGGAGGGCAGCTTCCTCCTGAAGAAGCTCTCTGTACCACAGGTTGCCTCAATTTAGGCCCAAAGGAATGAGCTCAGAAAACTAGAAAATCACTACAATCAGTAGTCTATATTAACCTTTCCTTCAAATAAGATGATTGTGTCAGAGATTTCTTTGAGTAACAGAATGTTGACTAACTCACGGCCAAATAATTGCATATATTATTCCAAACTTAACAATATCCCATGGACCACATTGTATGTTTGTACTCATCAATGATGGGCATCTGAGAAGTTACTAGTTGGGCTGTTCTGATGAGTCCTGCTGAATCCCTGTTGTCCCCTATTCTCTGTGGACACCACTTTCCATTCTGGAATCAATGCTCCACCCGAAGACTGCAGTTCCACTTTCTCAATAATTGCACATAGCTTCTCTCAGGGCTGCACCATTTTACACTACTAGCAATGTCTGAGAATTCTCATTTCACCCAATTCTTCTTCAGGCTGATTTTATCTCAGGATGAAGAAGTTTGGAATAAAAGCAGTTTCTGAGTGCTGCAGACACAACATGGAGTGGGTACTTGAGAGTATGGTGAGCCTAAGCAGTGCCCTGAGACAG